GTTTGGGTGTTCTGCTTGGTTAGTCCCGTTCAAACCCTGGTAACTCTACGGATCTACATGCAAGTTTGAAATTTGAAAGGTGCTCATGGGCTTCACAACATGCTGATGATCATTTTATTAGTATCCACCCGATTTAACGGCCTATATGGGGCTGTACCCAGGTTGTTAAATGCGGGGCTCCGGTATTTCCAAAGTTGTTAAGTTAAGTGTCAGTAATATTTCAAGTAGCATTCAGGTAAGATATAGTTTGTACAGACAGCCACTTGGTCCACCGCTCTAGTGCCTTCTACCCTGTGATGTCACAGATTCACGGCACATTGTTTTGATTTGTCACGAGGCTGGAGTGTTCATTCCGTGACTTTGTTGGACATATCTGCGTAATCAAGGAACATCCATGCACCATATCGGCTCCAAATGCACTCATTGTGTCAGTGATAGCTGACTGGTGGGTGGATGGGCAGGCAGAGTGGGCAAGAGGGCAAGAAGGAAAAGGTGAAATGTAGGCAAGCAGGCAGGGAGAGGCTGGGAGGTAAGCAGGGAGGTAGGCAGGGAGGGAAGGAGGGAGGGAGGGAAGGAGAGGATGAAGATGGATGGAGGTATGAATGGATGGAGGGAGGGAGGGAGGGAGGGAGGGAGGAAGGGAGGAATGGAGGAATGGAGGAATGGATGGATGGATGGATGGATGGATGGATGGATGGATGGATGGATGGATGGATGGAAGGATGAATGGCTGGAGGAATTGAGGAATGGATGGAAGGATGGATGGATGGAGGGATGGATGGATGGAGGGATGGCTGGATGGATAGAGGGAGGATTGGATGGAGGGAGGGATGGATGAATAGAAGGATGGGATGAATAGAAGGATGGATGGAGGGATAGAAAGATGGATGGAGGGATAGAAAGATGGATGGAGGGATAGAAGGATGGATGGATGGATGGAAGGATGGAGGGATGGATGGAGGGATGGATGGAGGGATGGATGGATGAATGGATGGAGGGGAGGGGAGGGAGGAAGGGATGTATAGGTGTTGAGTTGAACTGCATGACCAGTGAAGCAGAGAGTATGTGTGTATGGGATGTAGGGGAGGTGGGGATGGGGAGTGTCGGTGGTGGGGGAGGGACGGGCTCACTCCAATAACCCTAACACACTCGACCCAGTTAGCCAGATTTGTTTCTTAAATTTTGGATGTACATCATCATATATATTTTTGGTTACAGATTTTGTTTAGTAGTATTATTAGGATAATAAAAAATTATAAAAATACTTGTTTTGTGAATGCTTTATTGTATTAGATGGAGATTCTCCAGGCTCTCTGACTGGTAATCTACTGAACCATCTCCCAGAAGGGTCTCTTGGGAGGGAAGGGGGCAGGAAGTGAGGGTGTGGGGGAGAGATCCGATGAGGGTGAGAGAGGGGACAATAGAGGTCAGCGGCCTGCTTGCCATGTGAGGACCCCCGATGCCAAAACAAATCCAATACCGACCTACGGTTCTGTCGACCGCAGACCGGTATATGAGGCTCCAGATACCGATCTCCCAAACCGGTCGTTAGAACCAGCAGATCGTAAATAAGTGGCCGTTAATCGAGTGGAGCAGTGATGAGGGGTTCGAACCTATGCAGTAGATGTTCTCATGCACACACGTCTAGTGAACAGACCACGACTATGTGCAGAGATCCTTTACTGCTAGAATCCACGCAGTAAAACATCTAAACTATTGGGACCGACTAAAGAGCCTAAAACTGTACTCCCTTGAGCGCAGGTGGGAGAGGTATATAATAATTTACACGTGGAAAATATTAGAGGGGCTGGTCAAAACCTGCACACAGAAATAACATCACATGAGACCAGAAGACATGGCAGGATGTGCAGAATACCCCCATTGAAAAGCAGAGGTGCAACAGGTACTCTGAGAGAGAACTCTATCAACATCAGAGGCCCGAGACTGTTCAACACGCTTCCGCTACACATAAGGGGCATAACTAGCTGACCCCTCACAGTGTTCAAGAGAGAACTGGATAAGCATCTCCAAAGGATACCTGATCAACCAGGCTGTGACTCATACGTCAGGCTGCGAGCAGCCGCGTCCAACAGCCTGGTTGATCAGTCCGGCAACCAGGAGGCCTGGTCGACGACCGGGCCGCGGGGACGCTAAGCCCCGGAAGCACCTCAAGGTAAGGTAGGCCTGACAGCTGAGTGGACAGTGCTTCGGATTCATGGTCCTGAGGTTCTGGGATCGATCCCCAGTGGAGGCGGAAACAAATGGGCAGAGTTTCTTTCACCCTGATGCTCCTGTTACCTAGCAGTAAATAGGTACCTGGGAGTTAGACAGCTGCTACAGGCTGCTTTCTGGGGGTGTATAACAAAAAGGAAGCCTAGTCGAGGACCGGGCCGCAGGAACGCTAAGCCCCGAAATCATCTCAAGATAACGACATGGCATAAGGATTGCAACCATATTTATCAGAGGGCCACTAACCCTAGTGACCTCGACCAGGACAAGAAGCTGGCTGCTTGTCAAAGGTCCCCCCCCCATTTGCTTTGATGATCTTTTTAGGTATATTTTTAAACCCAACACAGTTTTGACAGTTATGGCTTTGGCCATGGGTTAATAACCCTGTGGGTGAGAAAGCATCTCCTGTTCTCAGTCCTACATTATGGCTTGATGAGCTTGAAACTGCTGACCCTTGTTTGTGTTACATTTGACCTTCTGAAGAAAATATCCGGATCAACATCCTCTACTTGCTCAGTATTTTAAAAGTTTCAATGAGATCCGCCCTGTCATTCCTGGCTTGCAGTGTTGTTAGCCCTGTGGCCTTCAACCATTCATGATACAGAAGATGACTTAGCTCTGGAATGACTTTTGTTGCACCTTCTCCAAGGCAGCTATGTCCTTCTGAAAATGAGGTCTCCATGCTTGGATCAGTTATCTAAAAAGCATTTGCACCAGAGATTTATGCAGTTAAACCATTACTTTCTTTTCCTTATGGTCAAAAGTATGCTTGATTATCATAAGAGTTTAGTTAGCTTTTCTGACTGCTGCACTCACCTGTTGTGCAACATTTAATGAGTGGTGGATTTTGACTCCAAGGTCCTTTTGTTCATCAATCTGCTGTAATGTAATACTATTAATTTGGTAGTCGTGGCATGGCTTCTCATGGTGTGGCCTGGAGTTCTATTGAATCCACATAGATTTCCTTAGGCTTCTACTGAAGCCAGAACAGAATTTTCACACAATTCCCCCATGCGCTCTGGGTCTGTCATCTCGGACTTGTTCTTCCTCTGACGCTCCTCTTTCAATACACAGAGAGTAATCACACTAATGTGACTGCATTATTTAAAAAATCCATGGGAGCAGTGATGAGGGTTGCAATTCTTATACTATATCATGGTATAAGACATGGTATATGCCTCTCTTTCCTCTCTTTCCTTCCCCTATACCTTCTAGCCCTCTCTTTCTGTTGGCATTGGCCTCTGGCCAATGCCAGAGGCCAATGTCTCTGTCAATGTCAAACAAAGGTGCCAAAAAATAATAGAAAGTTCCAGTCATCTACTACTCTGTTGCAAACAGAGTGGTAGACAGATGGAATAAGCTAAGAGAGAAGTCAGTGGAGGCCAAAACTATCAGTAGTTTCAAAGCGTTATACGACAAAGATTACTGGGATGATGGGACATCACAAGCGTAGCTCTCATCCTGTAACTACACTTAGGTAATTACACTCTTATACCCCTTCTATAGATCACAAACAGTTCACACTGGCATGAACACCATTACCTGCAGACCAGAATGTAGGCAGGCCAACTTTAAAAAAACCTGGTTGGGCTCCAAGTCTGGGACCTCCAGAACCTGCCAGTGAATTCAGTAGAGTTCCAGGTTGGTTGACTTATGTCCTGTCATAGCTGAGTGGGTTAAGAGGTGGGGCAAGCAAGCTGATGCTAGTTTCATGAAATTTCAATTATTTCTTTACATTGTTTGGAAGTTCTATGGCCATTTCTTGAGGCTGTGGTCTCCTTTAAAGCCAGCAGTGGTTTATTTTGGTTCATTGACCTTTTAGGTTCCTTTCTCGGTGGCAGCATACATGAATACTATAACTTAATATATAAATGACAATGCTCCTTGTGCCTTTTGTGAGAGGGCCAGGTTCTGGCTCTGGTTTTCGGTAGGCTACAGAACTTTGTAACCAATGGGACCTCGTGGTATCACACACTATCAGAGATAGTAGCTTCAGGGAGCCATTGGCAGCTCACCCAAAAATTTGCATTCCCTTACATTCAGCTGTTTATTTATTTACTTTTAACATTAAGGGACATACATTAAATGAAGGTGTAAAATATATGAGTAAATGCAGTTTTCCTTGGCAGTGATATGTTAAAAAAAGTGGTTTTCTTGTAAACCTCTAGCCAGACCATTTCTCCTAATTATCTGTTCATTAAGAAATATATATGGGATGCTATAGTGCATTACTATAGTTACATAAATTGTGGTTAAGCACTCTTGCCAAATATAAATGACAAGTTGTTATTCATGATATTTTTATGGTGTATTGAATTAGACGTACCACCAATGAAAATTAAGAAATGACATGGATGATTTTAAATTCTAGTTTCAAATTACAACATACTATATTTATACAAAGAGTAATCACACTAACATGATGTGTCAATGAGAAAATTTATAGGAGCCGTGATGAGGATTTGAACCTATGCGGTGGGTGTTCCCATGCACCCACCCTAGTTGACGAAGGCGTGTGCGTGGGAACACCCACCGCATAGGTTCTAATCCTGATCACAGCACCTACGAATGTTTTCATACTGTATTTATATTATCACTGATATTGTATTTGAGCATTTTATACTATACAGGCATGATGTCTCTTGGAAATTACTGCATATCATGCATTTAATGAATAGACATGTTACACTGACTTCCACTTAAAACCCCTTTAGGCTCTTATATTAGTTAAAACATATAGTGCATTGATTTCATAATTTTCATGCTTCTAGGAATCAACAATTAACCACCAGGTATGCAAATGTGTTGCTTCTCTCCACTACAGTAGGACCAGCAGATTGTCAGAACGACTGAACTGCCTAACATACATTTAGAAAGTTTAAATTAAATTTTTGCTTATGCGTAATATAAAAGTATATTCCCAGTTATACAGAGACTAGCCATAGAGCTAATAACTTGTTGATGTGGCAAGACATCTTAAAATAAAACAATTATCAAAAATGATCTCACAAAATATTAATAACTCGGCAGGTTAAGATGTTCTAAGGAGCGTTTGTTATAGTCACAATGCAATCCATGTAATAGCCTCACACACATTCTATAACTCTTGTCAAAGACTACCATATTTATTAAAGGCATATTTATCAAGAAATTATAAAAACTTTGTATACATTATCTCGGTACAAACAAGTGACAGTTGTTAGCTTAAAATAATTATCTGTAAAATAATCTTGAGAACTCTGCTCGGTGTTTGGTTCTTGGAAATAGCAGGAAAGTCAAATTAAAATGCATTAGGATATTTCTCTTATGATCTAAATTTTAAAAATTATTAGAAGACATAAATTGGGAGAGAAAATTAAATATTAAATTTTCTATACAGTATTTATTATAAGCATATGGCCATTATTCAGGAAATTAGTTGCCACCTGTCAATTATAGATGTGCTGCTATTTGTTTTGCTTCGTTTTTTGTAATTTAAAATTTAAATTCAGTATGGCTTGGTGGTCAGCCACATACAGTTTTCTTAAGCTGTGCATTTTTCCACAAAGAATGCGTGTCTAAGGTTCGCATTTTTTTCATCTTGTTTTTGCTCCCTCTTTGCCTACCTTACTATTTCTATTATCTTCTGTATTTTATTGAAAAAAGTGTTTTTATCCATTATAATTTTTGTATATTTGAATATTGCTATTTTGATGTCTGAAACCTGGGAATGAATGGAGATGATTAGTGTCCAAGGAGGATAAATGTAATATTGGTCATAGAATAAAAGTAGTGCTTGCAGTTCTGTAGCCTTGAGTGCTCTAAAGAGTTTTGACTGAAATCTTGTTAAGAGATAATGATAACTTCCATATCCATATGAGAGACAGTAACTTCCATTATTATTTGGTTTTACATTTATTTGTATATTGAACATGACTGAGTGCTCTTACCTTCCTGATGATACTTATGAGTATATTATAGTAATTTAGTTTAAACTTCTAAACCTTTTGTGCTTCTCTAAATGTTTTAGCATAATATTTATATTTCCTTTCTATGTATATATATTTATTAAGGCTTTTCAAAGTGTTTTTATGGAGTGATAGTCTCATTCAGTAATTGTATATCTCTTAATTGATGAAAGCTTGTGTGTTTTTCTGTGGCAGTCATCAAGCTGTAAGGTATGTCTGAGGAAGCTAATTTTGTATATACAGTATGTAAAATACTATCTAGCTTATGACATTCTCAGTCACAATTTATGATTAAAGTGTCTGATAAGATCAGTTATTTATATATATCTCCAAGATTTTTCCAGAGTTCTGAATAATGCAGACATTAATATATAGTAGTTACATGAAATTCACAGTATTTTCTTGAACCTTATCAGATAAAGCATTTATAGAAAGTTTAATTTACATGTGTATGAGAATTGTCTCTGGTCTTGGAAATGTGTGGGGATAAGTGACTTGAATGAGAATGTGGGATTTTGTAAATAAATGGAAACTATGCCCTATTTCAAGTAAAAATGCAAATTTTTAATATAATTGCTTTAAGAAATACAAAATTCAAAGAAGAGTTAATTGCTCTCATATGTTGCTTTGATAAGATAATTTACTAGAATATAGAGTATGTCAGATATATGTGTATACATGCATGTCGTGCAAAATATCCTTAATTGCCAAAAAGAACAAATTTCCCCTAGAAACTTATTATTTAAAAATTATCAGTGATGTATCGATAGATCTCATATGCATGTATATATGTGTGTATATTTTTATAATACAGAAGTTAATTATATGTACAGTACACTAGGAATAAAGCAAATTACAAAAAATATTAAGCAATTATGAAGATAAAATCATAAATATGTATTATTTTATTATACTAAAATACTGAGTTAATTGACTAGTGTCAGAAGCAACACAGTTTGGGTGGAATGAACTTTAAAAGATGGCAGTATTATAGTGATAATTTTAAAATGGAGTGTAATGTAAAGTTAAGAAGGATAAATTTTAAGGGCTAATAAATCTGAGAAAAAGTGCAAATATTCCTGAATAATTGAATGAATGAAGAGCAGCAATAATAGAGATTAACCTTTAATAGTACAGTATATTGATATTGCATGCTCTTAACAAAAGTGTAAATTTGTTATACATTATTTACAAAATAATGTTAAGGAATTAACATGTGTGAGTTGTGACTGCTAATACGGCCATTCTTCCCCTCCCCTGCGTGGTCCCCTACAGCCCCGCCGAAGATGGGACAGTGACAGTAGGGTTAGTTACACACACACTTGTCACCCGCGTGCCATCCTTACTCCTTACCAGCCACTGTGTCACAACTTCTCTTGTTCACTCTATATGCATTGCACATTTGTGTACAATTTTGTTATTTAAGCATTTGATGATGTTCCTTTAACTAGTGTTTTTAACATAATGAAAGCTAAGAGAAATGCCTGTAATAAATATTTTTTTATTGTGATTCTTCTATTTTGCATACTATTAAATTTTTGCTTAATTTAATTCTTGGCATATTAAGTTAATAGGTGATGGAAAGGTTGACAAGTGCGCACGTAGGAGCCTGGATGGAGTGGCTACTCTGTGCTGTTTGGAAGTTGCAGCCACTCTCACTCCTTTGCTGTTTGACCTGCACTACTACCTCCCCTTATTTCCCCCCCTCCCATCTCCTTTACCTTACCTAACTTAACATCTTAGTGACACTCAAAATTACTGCTATAATTCATGCTATGAGTATTAGGAATTCCTGTGATCATCAAATTGATTTGATTATCCTAACATAGAATACTTCTCATATTTCTTAGTGATTATCTTTGCAGATGTGTAATATTGACTGTCACCTTTACTGCCTTTTGGATACCCATCTTTCAAATTGGTTTATGTTGCATCACAGTGGTTGTCACACACATTTTAATACAATATTCTATCATTTATTAAAACTTTTAAGCTTTAGTGTGGGATAATTTTCCAAAACTATAAAGATTATTCTCAATATTTAAATTCATTACTTACTATTATTTGGTTAATATTTAATAATCATACGAGATGTATGAATATTGCATCTTTTAAATATAGGCTTTATATTACTAATTATAAATCAAAATCAGTAAAACAAATTGTTTGAATGATGTGATTCCCTATTCCCAAATTTGTTATACCAGTAAGATTATATCTGCTTTTTATCTATAATCATTTTGCAAGTTAATTTGGCTCCAAAGAATTTTACTCCAAAGTATTGAAAATATAAGCTGTTGGAATGACAATAGCAAAAAATACAAAACTTTAACATCACATATGTTAGTGTTAAATGTTACTAACCACTCTGATGATAACAGTCTTCGATGATAATCCTCAGTGTATCCCTGCTATTTTGCACACATTGGCTGTAGAAAGGAGGTGTATTTTGTTATGTACGACTGTAATGCAGTGTTGTACAGTACTGTATAATGTATACAATACGTGGCCAACAGGACGTGCCACTGGGTAGAGGCCCAAAGAAAACAGCCATAAATGTACTTTGTCATTAAAGTAATGTGCAATCAGAATACTGAATATTAGTGTTATATCTGACTAATTACTAGTAGCATAAAAATTGAAGATGGACATAGTAAGACGTCCAGTTGTTCTTATTCTTAGGTGCAGTCAGTGATTGGATTTCAGATATGCTCATATCATGCTCAATAAAATGTGCATTGAAGATATACAATGCTGAATTTTTGTATTCATATTAAGAGTTATGTATTAATAACTCATTATGATGAAGTGCTCTATTTCAATTGTTATTTTGTGTGAAAAAGTACATAGAAAAACTAGCTGTTATTTATATACTGTACTATCTTTTACTTGCTTCATATATTAACTGCAGTTTGGAAAGCTTTTAGAGATTCTTCGAAGCTTATTAAGTAAATATTTGAGAGCTGAACTTGTGGAATGTCTTTTTTCCACTGATGCCAAAGAATTTTATTTACTAGCTGTTATTTTTGGCTTACATTTCTAATAAAGTAGGACTAAGAACTAGTTCTAAATATAATTAATAAACAAAGTTTCATATTTCAGTATTAATTATTTGTTACAGTGTATGATACTATCACCAGTATGAAAATAGTTATTAATATATTAATCACAGGTTTTAAATCTTTAAGTGTACTGTATAATGATAATGGTAATCAATAAGATGAGTTAATACTCATTCTAAGTTCTCACCTGATATCATTCTATCTTTTATCCATAGCCAAGAACAAACTCAAGGCCAAATAGCCCCTAACGTACCGTTTCCAACAAGGTTTGTTACACGATAAAAGTAGTATAGAACATTGAATTTTCTGGTAACTTGATCTAGAACAATTTCTCATTTATATAGATGCTAGAAAACACAACACTTTTGAATATTTTATTGGCATATGGATAATTAGCCTGCCAGTGTTTTGGCTATTTCTTTTATTACAAATGGAAATTGTCATGCTTTATGAAGACAAGCAATTCACTGCAATTTTTACGTCATCTTGTTCACTAGTCACTCTTGCATTGTGCACCAGTAACTTGAAATGTTGCAATGTTCTATAACTGGAGAGATGTTTGAGAGCTGTTGAAATTGTTTCATATGTTCTCTGTGTCTTGAATATTTAATCATCATCATTGATGAATTAAAATACTGTATGTCATTTATAAACTTATAAATTTTAAACTTATTTCATTAGATGACTTTCTTCATTCCAAGTTACTTTCTACTGAATTCAAAACAACTGGGCATCTGTCATGCATCTTGAGAGTGTGCATGGTAGTGTGAGTTCCTCCCCAAACAACTACTATATAATCTTTTATCAATATCATGTCTTCAGTTTCTTTAGTTCTAGAATGAAACTGAATCATCAACTTTTCATCTCCTGTGCTTTTGCTACTGCAGGCAAACAGAACCAATATGCAATAATATATATATATTATTTATATATATATATATATATATATATATATATATATATATATATATATATGCATATATGCAGGGGTACCTCGGTTTAAGAATTTAATCAGTTCCGGGAGACGGTTCGTAACCTGAAATTTGTAAACCGAAGCAAATTTCCCCATAAGAAATAATGGGAAATGAATTAATCCGTTCCTGACTCCCCAAAAACTTCACTTAAAATTAAATTTTAAACCTAATTCACCAAATCTTAACTGCAAAAGTATGTTCAAGTTATTACTTACCTTTGCTGATGACTCCTGTTGATGTAAGGAAGATGGTGAGGAGAGTAGAAGAGGAGAGGTGTTACTGTTTGGAAGGGGAGTCCCCTTCCATTATATCATCAGGCAGTGAGGACTTCACTAGTGTACACTCTCTGGCATGTTTTGCCTGCATACCACTACGACCTACTTGTGGATCACTGCTTGCTTGTCTTATTAAGAATCTGTCTAAAGACACTTGTTTTTTCCTACATTTTAACACTTGTCTGTAGTAAGACATTGTCTTTTAAAAGGTCAATGCAACGGCGCCCTTTATCTGGGCGAGTTTTTTCAACAAAACTTTGCAATTCTTCCATACTTCACACATTTTCTTACTGAGGAAGGGACATCCTCTACTACCTCTACTCACAACTATTTTCTTAGGTTGAACCTTTCCACTGGCTTTCTTGGGACCCATGGCGAGATATATAATAAAAAATTTTATGCTCAAATGGCCAAAAATCCGACAAAAAACTGTAAATTCTTGTGAAGAATTCAGGCGGGATAGTCACTGGGCACGAGGCACTGGTAAACTGAGGCACAATCGACATGCCACCACATGCTAGGTTGGCCGTACGCATATCAACAAACTCGTATCCTGATGCAAAGCTCGTACCCCGATTAAAATTTCCCAAACAAATCGGGCTCGTAACTCGAAAAGTTCGTAAACAAGGACGTTCGTAACCCAAGGTACCACTGTATATATATATGTTGTACCTAGTAGCCTGAACACAGTACTCGGCCTACTATGTAAGGGGCCGATTTGCTTAATATTATATATGTCGTACAACACACATTATATATATATATATATATATATATATATATATATATATATATATATATATATATATATATATATATATATATATATAAAATAATATTTTGGCTACCTAGTAGCCAGAATGCTCTTCTCGGCCTACTATGCAAGGCCCAATTTGCCTACTAGGCCGAGTGATTTTCTTTATTTTAAACAAATTGTTTCCATTTGGTTTATTTGAGTATTTATTGTTTTATTATATTAGGAACACAAATTATTGACTTATGTTAGTTTAGGTTTGGTTAAGATAGGTTAGGTTAGGTAGGGTTGGTTAGGTTCGGTCAAATATCTACGTTAGTTTTAACTCAAATTACAAAAAATGAATTCATACATGATGAAATGGAAAGCTTTATCATTTCATAAAGAAAAAATTTGAAAAATATATAAATTCTGGAAAACTTGGCTTATTAGGCAAATAGGGCGAGTACTGCATTCTAGCTACTAGGTACAACATATTATATATATATATATATATATATATATATATATATATATATATATATATATATATATATATATATATATATATATATATATATATATATATATATATATATATATATATATATATATATATATATATATATATATATATATATATATATATATATATATATATATATATATATATATATATATATATATATATATATATATATATATATATATATATATATATATATATATATATATATATATATATATATATATATATATATATATATATATATATATATATATATAGAGCATACTTTCCTCACGAATATGTCACTATTCTTTATTATTTATTGACAGCTGTCCTTTTTTTATTATTTCTATTAAATGACGAATATTTTAACATAAAAATGTAATTATTTTGTAGCTAGCTGATCACCAAGCTCTGTCATTGTAAAAATTATTACATTTTTTATGGAAGACCCATAATCATTATCATAATGTACTTTATCCAATCCACCCTATAGGTTGCAAAACACTAATATAGAAAATAAGCCTTCTCATGGCAGCACACAAATATATTATGTGACATCAGACTTCACAGTGGGGAAGGTAAAATTCATATAGTTTTTTGGGGCTATTAGTCCTTAGTTATCCCACATACCTGTGTGCACCCCCAACCTTCCAATCTCCATACTTTCCCTAGGCATGAAGAGAACTACCATCTACCAACACCACAAAAGAAATCTTCACAAGACCACATTTAGAATAGCAGAATTCCTGTGTACAGTATTTGGTTGGTTTCTGCCACCACTGTTAATTGTGTTTGTGCGTGTGTATGTGTGTGTGTGTGTGTGTATGAAAGGAGCAATGATTTCTTTTGTGTGTGAGTGGGTCCAGACTCTGGCATGCCGGGTCTGGTAGGATCTGGCGTCGCCGTTCCCCCAACTCGGTGGACAGAGGTTTGGGGGGCTTTTACTGTGCGGCGGCGCCACTTGTAATTACAATCCTTGTAACAAAAATGGGTTGTGGGTCAACACCTCATAGACAGGCTCCCTCACCTAACCCATAAAGCAGTGATGGAATGCCTAGGGGACAGCATCATCTAATGGAATACCCCCAAGTCCCGCTCACAGAGGCACAACACCACAATACTCTTCCTAATAATTACTTCCAAGAAATTTAAATAACATTCTCATACACACACACATCTATATATATATATATATAATTTATGTATATTGGGATATTGGGAGTAGGTTTTCTTTAATACACATGAAATTTAACACAGCAGCATTATTACAATTGATACTTTTCTTACGGATATTTTCCATTTTATGTAAATACCTTCTATCATCTAGAAGGTGAAGAATCACAAATCTCTTAGTGCTTCCATTTTATTACATTTCATTAACAATGTAACATCTTCAGGAATATACATACGGTATGGAGAACACACACATACATTCATATTGATTGTCATAATTTCAATCTAAGGAAACAAAGGTGCCAAAAATATTAAAATGTTCTCTTTTGCAAAGAGAGTGGTAGACTGTTGGAACAAGTTAAATGAGGTGATGGATGCCAAAACCACCAAGATTTCCAAAGCATCATATGACAAAGAGTACTAGGAAGACAATATCACAAGTGTAACCCTCATCCTATAACTATACTTAGGTAATTATACAAGCAAGAAACTTGTAGTAAGTTTGACATGGCAGTAAGAAGAGAGGCAGAAAGAAACTTTGAAGAAAGGGATAGTGAACAAACGTAAAACAGAACAAAGTTTTTTCTATCAATCTATTTAAAGCAAGCTGGATGTAAAGGATAAATTCCAGAGGTTAAAAATAGTGAACAAATTCACAGAGAATGAAAAAGAAATGTGAGAAAAACTAAGTGAACAGTTCCAAATAGTTTTTTTCACAAAATGAGCTTTTCAAAGAAGTAGACACAATGCCAATTTCAGAGAATATCATAGAGTGCATAGAGGTATGTCAAGACAAAGTAAAAAAATTACTCAAAGAGCTAGGAATCATCAAAACAGTTGGTTCAAATGGCATTTCACCTTGGTTTCTGAGAGAATGCTCACTTGTGTGAGGATGTCACTTCAACTGATTTTTCAGACATCTTTATCTACAGGAATTTGATCAAATACAGTATATGGGAAAGGTTAACATAGTTCCATTCTACAAAAATGGTAGCAGAGAAGACCCTTTTCATTATAGATTTGTACAGTATCACTGACAAGCATAGTAGTCAACACCCTCAAAATTATAGACCTGTATCATTGACAAGTGTGGTAGTCATGTTGGAAAATAATTAAAACTAAATAGATAGGACACCTGGAGAAAAATTATATAACAGACAGACAGTGTGGTTTTCTATCTGGTAGAACCTTTGTAATGAATTTACTTTTTTTTTTTTTTTTTTTTTTTTTTTGAGATATATACAAGAGTTGTTACATTCTTGTACAGCCACTAGTACGCGTAGCATTTCGGGCAGGTCCCTGGAATACGATCCCCGCCGCGAAGAATCGTTGTTACAACCAAGTACACATTTTACTGTTGCGTTAAACAGAGGCTACAGTTAAGGATTTGCGCCCAGTAAATCCTCCCCGGCCAGGATACGAACCTATGACATAGCGCTCGCGGAACGCCAGGCGAGTGTCTTACCACTACACCACGGAGACTTAGTTTCTATGATAGAGCCACAGAGATTTTACAAGAAAGAGATGATTGGGTTGAATACATTTATCTGAACCTAAAATATGGCTTTCAACAGAATTCCACATAAGAGGTTGTTCTGGAAACTGGAACATACTGGAGACAGGGAGACTTCTAACATGCATGAAAAATTTTCCTGACAAAAATTAAAGCAGTAATCAGAGGCAATGTATCAGACTGGAGAAATGCTATAGGTGGATTATCGCAGATTTCAGGTTTTCACCAGTAATGTTCATTATCTACATAAACAACCTACCAGAAGGAATACAGAATTATATGAACATTTGCTGATGATGCTAAGATAATAGGAAAGATAAGAAACTTAGATGATTGTCATGCCCTTCAAGAAGACCTGGACAAAATAAGTATATGGAGCACCACTTGGCAAATGGAATTTAATGTGAATAAATGCCATGTTATGAAATGTGGAATAGGAGAACATAGACCCCACACAACCTATTAATTATGTGAGAAATCTTTAAATAATTCTGATAAAGAGATCTAGGGGTGGTTCTAGATAGAAAACTGTCACCTGAGGACCACATTAAGAACATTGTGTGAGGACCCTATGCTACACTTTCTAACTTCAGAATTGCTTTTAAATACATGGATGGCAAAATACTAAAGAAATAGTTCACGACTTTTGTTAGGCCAAAGCTAAATTATGCAACGATTGTATGATGCACATATCTTAAGAAGCAAAGGGTGCAAAGACATGCCACTAAGTGGCTTCCAGAACTGAAGGATAAGAGCTATGAGGAGAGGATAGAGCCATTAAATATGCCAAAACTAGAAGATAAAAGAAAATGAGGCGATATGATCACCACGTACAAAATAGTAACAGGAATCGATAAAATTGATAGTGAATAATTCCTGAACCTTCTGGAACAAGAGGTCATAGATTTAAACTAACTAAACAAAGATGCTGAGGAAATATAAGAAAATTCACTTTCGCAAACAGAGTGGTAGACGGTTGGAAAAAGTTAGGTGAGAAGGTGGTGGAGGCTAAAACCGTCAGTACTTTCAAAGCATTATACGACAAAGAGTGCTTGGAAGACGGGACACCACGAGCATAGCTCTCATCCTGCAACTACACTTAGGTAATATTACACTTAGGTAATTCTACACACAGACATGTTGCTAGCTAGGCTGATGTGTTCGGGACCTATACCATACCATGTGCTTCAACTTAATTTTAAGCCATCTTTTGAAGCATTAGATATTTATCAACATCAAGAATGATGCTTTTTTTGCAAAAATTCACCATTGCATGGCAGGTTTTATGAAAATGCATCTGTCATGTCCACTTTGTTCCTTTGATTTTTGCTTGGTGCATCCCTGTCTATAATTAACATTATTAACACTTTAGATTAAGGTCGTGAAATACAAAGTATTTAAGAAAATAGATTGTTATATGTAACAGTACTATATATATTAGCTGCACTGTAAGATTTTATTAGATTCTACAGTATATAGATGATTACTTTAGAAAAATACTTTGTAATACTTTAGTAGAGTATTCCAGTTCTTGAAAATAGATATATTACTATTGATCATGTTATGCACTGCCTTAACATGTTTTTTAGAAGAAATGTTAGAATGTTTCTAATATGTAATAATTCTCCTTCTGGCATTTTGCTCTCATATAATATGGCTGATGTGTGAGTGAAATTATATTATGATGGCACTGGAGCATATTCCATGCCACTGATTTATCCATGATCAGCCATTACATACCAGTGTATCATTTATGATGCAGTACAGAATGTCAGTTATGTTTCTGTGCTTGGTAAATATTAAACAATTTATAGACAAATACATTTAAATGTAAATTTCTTATGCCATAAAACTTTAATGCTCTGGATTTTCTGACAAAGTGTCTGCCATTAATATTAAAATCAGAAGATTTTATAGAGAAAACTCATCTCAGGTGCTGGAGACTAACCTTCCATTTTGGCATGCAGTAATATGATATTTTAATGACACAGACCTGATGGTGTGGGTACCGTCCTAGCAGAAGAAAAGGAGCGCTTCCAGGTTATTAAAGAGAGGTTAAGAGTCTTACTAGAACACCAAATAACTAATTTCATGTAAGTTAAATTTTGTCAAACATCTTAAGATGTTTTATCCTTGTATATATAGTATTTTATTTTCTGTTATAGTATTATTATTCTTAGGTTACTTGTCTTCTCACTTTGTTGTTTAATAAGTGTATGTTCTCATATCAACAGGTATTGCTTCCCATTTGGTCGACCAGAAGGTGCCCTTAAAGCCACGTTATCCTTACTAGAGCGGGTAAGATAGATGTGCATTTTTTTGTATCTTTTCTGTGGGAGCCTCTTTGGCTCCCTGGAGCTATTGGGCTAATGTGTGATATATTAGACTGGGGCTTTAGTCTATAGAGTTTGACCTACTAGGGACTACGAGCCAGAACCTGGCCCCTTCAGAGAGGTTGCAGGGAGCAATGGCCCTGGAAAACTCCCTTAGGGTTGAGGGTTTTCCTTATCTGTTATCGACCAGGGTTAGGCACCCAGAAAGGTAGGCATAACAAAACAAACCCCACATGGTAAGAAACTAACAACTAAAAACCAAACAGAGAGGAAGAACTCCCTCCAATCCCAAGGAAACCAGCAAACAAGCAAACATCACACACTCCACTGCCGCCTAGCCCTCCCCTCCCCAAGAGGGGAATGGGGGAGCCCCGGACCTCCCTGGGTTGGCTACTCAGCTCTCCAGTTCGTTCGCTAATGTCATTTGGGGCAGATGTCTTCTCTAGCCTTGGTTTGTAAAGCAGTGTTTTGCCTTCGTGGTGATCTCCCCAGTGTTGTGGTGAGTGGTGGACAGGTGTAATCATCAGTGCTGGGGCTGCATGCACTTAGGGGCTCCCTTCCCTAAGTGCCCTGTGAGTACTTCCCTTGCGTGTTAGGGTTCCCTTCCCTGGTGCGTTTGGGAAACCACTTTCGTAGGGGTTCTTGTTTGCTCAGCATTTACCCCGCCCTTCGGCCCAGCTGAAGTTTCGTGGCCCTTGTTTGGCCTTGGGTAGGAAATGGTATCGTGCTGGTTGGGGCATCAACGTGTTGTGCTGCCTGCATACCTATGCGGCAGCCAGTTCCTATTTCCTCTGGGGATATTGTACTTTTGCGAGTGTTTTGTTTTGTTTTTATTTTTTCTTGCCTGGTCAGGGTCTGCCTGGTGTGGCTATCGTTCCACTTATGATATTTTGGTGGCCCTCTGCTAGACCTTCATGATTGTACACATCACAGAAGTTTCAGTGTTTTGATTTTCCCCTTGGTAGCATTGGGTCTCAATCGGTTAGCAACACCTTGCCCGGGCTTCCCGTAGCAGTCAGCCTACATGCCCTGTCGGGGCTCGATGAACCACTAGGTGCGTTTTCCAGGTTCCAGCCCAACTTGTGTGGGTTCGAAGGTTGTTGTGCACCCTAGTCCCAGGGTGACAGTCACCTCTTTTGCCTCCATCATGCTGCCTGTTGGGTCAACGACACCTTTGACCCAGAGTCTTGCCAGTCATATTCTCTGCTTGTACTCTAGTATTATTCTGATGAAATTATTGTTAGGGTACAGGCAGCATCCTCGTTGCTGCAACGCGCTAGATTGGTTTCCTGCCTGGATGCCCTGCGGCTGCCCCACTTTTTTTAGTTATAGGGCCCCGGACCTGAGGGTGTTAGTTGTTTCGACTTGGTTCAGTCCACGCTCCCTTGTCCTTCCCCTGTTGTTCTTCTTACCCCCCCCCCCCCTGTTTCCGGCTCCCAAACGTCTGAGAGTTTCGGGGTTGGAGCAGGGTTTTTGTTGGTTTTGAGACTCAGGCTGCTTCGGGGGCTGCCCCTTTTGGGTTGGGGACAGAGGCATTCGAGCCGGTTTCTCCCACTGAGGCTTCTGGGTCCCACCAGCAGGCCCCCCTTCTTTTCAGCCTTTTCCCTGGACTCTGCTTTTTCTTCAAGGGGTAGAAGAAAGTACCACAGGAAGTACCACAGGGTTCAAGAACTGAACCCTGTGGTACTCCACTTGTGACAGTCCTCCCAATCCGATACATTGCCTCTGATTACAACCCCTCATTTTTCTATCAGTTAGGAAATTTTTCATCCATGTTAGAAGCTTACGTGTCACCCCTCCAATATGTTCCAGTTTCCAACACAACCTCTTATGTGAAACTTTGTCAAAAGCCTTTTTTAGGTCCAGATAGATGCAGTCAACCCAACCATCTCTTTTCTGTAAAATCTCTGTGACTCAATGATAGAAACTGAGTAAATTCATTATACTGGATCTTCCAGATCGAAAACCATACTGTCTGTCCAATATTATATCGTTTTTCTCCAGGTGTTCTACCCATTTAGTTTTAATTATTTTTTCCAATATTTTAACTATTGCACTTGTCAATGATACAGGTCTATAATTGAGGGAGGTCTTTCCTGCTGCCACTTTTGTAAATTGGAACTATGTTAGCCTTTTTTCCACACATCAGCTACAACCTCTGTACACAGGGATGCCTGAAAAATTAGTTTAAGTAAGGAATGTTCCATGCGTAAAATGGGGTTGACCTGATGACCGTCGGGACCCCAGCAGATAACCCACTGGGGTCCCATGAAGTTCTTCGCTGTGTTCCTCCACCAGCTCGCAACACACAACACTCACAACACTATGAATGCCACTTCTTTTTCTAAATTTCTCTAACCATCCCCTGCTTGCCTTAAAGTCTTTCGCATCTGCATCACTTGTTCCAGGGGTTTTCTTTAAAAGGTCTTCATGCAGTTTCCTTGCTTTTTCATAAATGAAAACTCTGAAACTCTATCACCCGCTAACTCCTTGCTGTGTATCCAAATTAATAATAACTGTTCAACATCCTCAAGTGTTTGTGTTCTATGTTTTGTGATTATTGATAAGCCTTTTGCCACTTTAGCACTCATAATGTCCTTTTTCTTAACAAGTATGGTGGATATTGTTAACTGAGATGTACTTCCTAATGTGGTTCAGTAACTAGTTGAACTGCCTAACTAGTTCAGCAACCCGCACATCATCTTCATATTTATGAATGATCTCTTGTTTTTGCTCAATGGTCATCCTTACATGTGTGTTCATATGTTGAACCTTACCACTGACTTTCTTAGGACTGACCCATGGCATGATATATAATAATCAGTTTTATGTTCAAAAAGCAAAAATCACCAAAAAATAGAATTTCTTATAAGAGTGACCATCGCTACGCAGGACGCTCTAGTAAACTGAGGCAGGACGGCCCGCGCGACTGGGAACCATGCGCTTGGTCGACCCGAATGTGTATCAACAAATATAGTTAGTCGACGACACTATCGTAAGTCCAGTCGCATTTTCCAATCAAATTTATATCGTAACTCGAAATTATCGTAAGTTGAGGTGCCACTATATATCTTCCCGATGACTGCACGAGTGGTAATATAAAAAGATGCATATATGACAATGCACAACAACACATCAACGGTCACGACGTACTCAAGTCAAGAATATAACATCATCATCAAGGCGGGCGAGGATAAAGGCAAAATAAACAAGAGGAAAGGAACGTAGGATGGGAATAAAAAAACAGAAGGTGAATACAAAGCATCGCTGCAGTAAATAAAGCGAGGGACAGAGGCGAAGGATGTGAAGGAGGCAAGTGTGAATGTGTAGAAGGGAAGAGGAAGTCAAGACGGGACAGGCGAGGATAGGACAGGGCAAGGTCTGTAGACGGCATCCAGAGCCTCACGACTGGGAGGCTAATGCATTGGAGTCCACAGAAGCGCCAGCACGACAACGGGAGGAAGACCTAGGAAGGCCGCAAGGGCAAGTCGTGGGAGAACGCGATGTAAGAGGCCCAGCAGGCAAGGTGGCAGGGTGCTTGGAACTCGGGATGACGGAGGATTGTTTCTGCTTAGTACCGGGGGCAAAGATGTGTGGCAAGGCAGCCTGGGAAAAGACAAAAGGGAAGGCTCGCCAATGAGTTCCAAAGGGCGTTGTCCTGCATCGATTCAAATGCATTGGAGATAGCAGAGGCAGCTGTGGGACGATAGATGTCAACCGTAAAAGAAGCGGAGGAGAGGAGCGACGAGTCAGCCTCAGGAACAGTAAGGACAGACTGTGGAAAGAATTTAATGACAAGGCGGACCAGCACTGTCTCGAGTGCATCCATAACATGAGCGACAATAGCGTCAACAAGATCGGGACTCAATTGAATGGCGGGTGGGAGAGAAGAAGCCTCAGGGGCGAGAGGAACGTCATTGACAAGTGGGTCAGGCACAGGTAAAGGCGGCAGTGGAGGGGGAAACGGCGGGTGATAAGGAACTGGGGCAGGATGAGGCAAAGCACGACAGGAGGGCAGAGTGATGACGGGAAGAGCCTTAGTGAGCGCCACAACGTCGGAAGGACCCTGCTTGAAAATGATGGCATGATCACCACCACAGTTGGGGCAACAGAGCTTGTTGGACTCAGTCATGAGTGAAATGGGAACTAGAGCAGTTGCCACAATGGACGTCATTGGTGCAGCCATGGGAAGTATGGTGAAAACCCTTACAACGAAAGCACTGAGTGGGATGTCCAGTGCCTTGTGAGCACTTTGGCCTGGGTTCGTATCCTGGCTGGGGAGGATTGACCGAGCACCAATCAGTTCACCTAGCAGTGAATGGGTACCTGGTTGTCAAACGATTTGGCGGGTCAGATTCCGAGGAAAAGTGACCTGCCCAAAATGCTATGCATGCTATTGGCTTTACACGAATGTAACAACTCTTGTATATATAAATAATAATAAAAAAATATGTTTATTGAATGTTTTTTGAGCATCTCTTGCCCACTGGGAGAGAGAGAATGGAAGTTGCAAAAGGAGAGAGAATGGGAGAGAGGCAGGGAAAATGAATACAAGGAAGAGAGGTAGAGCAAATGGGAGGGGTGGGGAGTGAGGGAGAGAGGCATAGAGAGTGGGAGAGAAGAAGAAAGTACAGAAGGGAGGGAGAGAGGCAAAGAGAGAGAACTGAAGAGAGGAAGAGAGGCAGAGAGAATGAAAGGGAAGGAGACAGGGAGAATGGGAGGGAGGGAGGCAGAGAGAATGTAGAGAGAGATAGACAAACTCAGGCATTACTCTTAGCCCATTCAATTAATTTTATGACATACTCAATATATAATAGTTACCTTCTAGACAATATAGGCCTCTCACACTGACAATTCATAAATATTTTAATAATTTTATACCTTAGGTGCTGATGAAGGATATAGTGACCCCTGTGCCGCCCGAAGAAGTGAGAGGCATGATAAAAAAGTGCCTAGAAAATGCTGCCCTCCTCAACTATACTCGTCTTTCTGCTGAAACTAAAATTGAGGGTAAATAGTTATGCTTTTTTTGGATCACTAAAATATTTGAAAATATGTAAAATCATTTCTCAATCTCATAGCTGACGATTAAATAAATCAGCGATCGCCAACTGGTGGTCCGTGAGACAATTTTATTTGTGTATTGTATATAACTGTGTATTTTCTTTAACTCTTATATTTAATGGCATTAAATAGTTTGACTTATAAGTATCACTTTTTGTTTGGTGGACTGCAGGATTCACATTAGTTGTCCGTGCGATTTAAAATTACGAATTTGGTGATCCGGGAGCTCCGAATGATTGGCAACCACTGAAATAAATAATAACACCCAGGTTCTCTCATATATCCATATCCACAAGTTATTTATTTGGAAACTGATTTGCAGCTGAGAGATTTTGTGCTTTAAACTGTGAATGCATGACTAGAAGGATACATTTATTCATAGCCACCAGTGTTATTATATTCAATGGTATTGTAATGATTACTGATAAATACTTTTTCATGTTCAATACATATGTTTATTTTTTACAATGAATATCTGGACAACAGCTTAGAAGTGCTGAATAAATTTACTCCAGTTATGAAACGCATATACTTGAAGTATGGTGCATTTTATTTACATTGTATTGGTTGTGCAATGTCTAGATAATACCTTCATATTTTCTAAGGGTCCTTCTAGAAAATAACTTCATACCTTCTAGGGGGTCATGGTAGTCCAGTCAGGTTCGTTCTGGGCTCACAATCAAGAGTTCTGGGTTCGAATCCAGGGGGGGACAGAAATTGTGGTAGTCAGCTTGTTGTGGGGTTGCACCCTGAGGATGGTCAGCAATTCAACCCTAGGGGTGGACCTCGATATAAGCCTAACATGTACTATATGTCTAAACTGGCTGCCTGTCCTCTAACACAATGAATTATTAAACTATATTGAATTATGAAATAGCTTAAACCAGTACCTGTATGACTACCAGTCTCAGTGGTGTAGTGGTAAGACACTCGCCTGGCATTCCGCGAGAGCTTTGTCCTGGGTTCGTATCCTGGCCGTGGAGGATTTACTGGGCACAAATCCTTAATTGTAGCCTCTGTTTAACTCAACAGTAAAATGGGTACTTGGTTGTAAAAATGATTCTTCATGGGGGTCGTATTCCAGGGACCATAGGATTAAGAACTTGTCCGAAATGTCACACGTACTAGTGGCTGTACAAGAATGTAACAACTCTTGTATATATGTAAAAAAAAATAAAAAATAACACTTATATATGGTGGTTCGATGCAGAAATCATTTATTATTGAATCATGTAGTCTCCCAGTGTCAGATTTTAAAGACATTTTAATGCATTTTCTGTGGAGAGCCCCTTCGGCTCCCCAGAGCTATACTGGGCTGATGTGCATATATTAGACTGTGGCAACAGTCAGTCGATGGAGTTCTAGGCCTACCGGGAACCAGAGCCTGAACCTGGCCCCCTCAACAGAGGCACGAGGAGCAATGGCTTATAGATACCCCTGTGTAATTAGAAGCAGTCTATGTCTGCCATCTACCAGTTCAGGCACCCAGAAAGGTAGGAATTCCAAAACAAACAACAGCTGGTCAAAAATTGCAAACTGAAAGCCAAACGCTTGGGATTCCAGACCTCCGCTGGCTACTCACCTCAGTTCAAGAGGCTGAATCCTGAGTTCAAGAGGCTGAATCCTGAGTTCAAGAGGCAAAAATCCTGAGCACATGCAGCTCCATGCACTCAATTCCTGGCTCACACTACACAGATGTGTAAAAGAACAGCCTCAAAGGCAAAACACCACTTGAAGAATGGGAGACTAGAGCCAGAGCAACTAGAACATCAAAGAACAGATGACTAGGCACACATGAGAATAAGAACTGGGGGTGGGGCAGCCAACTCACTTGGCCTGCCTCCCTTCTTCCTTCAAAAGAGGAGGTGGGGGAGGGGGCAAACTAGTTCGTGCTAGTTTCACCAAATTTTGATTGGTTGTTTCCATTGTTGAGGGAGTTCTTTTGACAGTTTTTGAGGCTGTGTCTTGTTCTAAACATGCAGTAGTCTGTTTTGTTTCACTGACTTCCTGGGTGCCTTCCCTGGTGGTAGCAGATATTATTAACTTTAAATGTGAAGTGTTCATAGTGCCACTGCTCCCTTGCTATGAGCCACATTATGGCTCATGGTCTCCAGTAGACCAATAAGAACTCCGCGACTGATGGCACCTAGTAGTATGGCTTTGAATCAGTATAATAGCTTCAGGGAGCCACAAAGGGTTTCTGCCAGAAAATTGCTTCTCACAAATGCCTCCAGAAGGTATGTGGAATGTTTTGCAACGAATCTCCCACTCCAACAAATTAGGGTTAGTCCCATATTGTTCATAGAATCAAGGTTGCACTGTACTGTGTATGCTGTCAGTCATAAAGACATACACACAAAAATTGTGTGACTCAGGAGCTGGTGCTCAATGTACAAGTGCATTTAGGTGAATACATTTAAATATAACACCCATGTACTCGTATAATAAAAATAATCTTTGTTTTCAAATGAATATTAAGACCAGGAATAAATTCAGCATCCATTTTAAGATTATGTGAGATAATTCACTTTCTAAAGTAACTTTACTTGTATTTTTCATCCCTAGGTGGAGAAACTACCCTTCAAGGTAAACAATTTAGCATGATAAGTTTAACATACTCATAATATTTAGGGGGCATGGGTAATCAGTAGAAGAAAATAGAATTCCCATCTTAGTAAATATATTTTTTATGTAATCAACAGTAGTTACAACTTAGTGTATTTGAGTGATTTAATTTATTTGTGTGCATGTTATTACCCATTTGTAATTACAGGAAGATAGCTATGTTTATAAAGTCTTGTAATTTATATACTAAATACTTTTAATGCTCACAGTGGTTCTGGCACATACAACATTCTTCTGGAGATTATTCCAACCTTCTACAACTCCATTAAAACTATCTAAGCGTGTTAAAAATGAATTAGCTATTTTATCTGCACATATTTTTTAACATTTCATAGCTATGGCTTTTTGTTCTTTGTCTCAGGTTCCAAGAACTCTCAAATTTTCTGTGGGGAGCCCTGTCGGCTCATTGAACCTATCCAAACTGACATGTGCAATATTAGTTTGGGGTCATCAGTCACGGGAGTTCTTTATCCCTACCGGAAACTACGAGCCAGAACCTGGTTCACTCAGAGAGGTGCAGGAGCAATGGCCATATGAGCACTCTACATTTAGAGTATGTCATGTCTGCCATCAACCGGGTAGGGTCGATGGCAGACATGAAAGGCCCTGAAAGATAGCCGAAACAATACAAACCCCAACTGGTGAAAAGTGCAACCTACGTCTGAACAGAGCCAGAAAACTCCCTCCAAAAGAAAACAATCAAATAGTCATCCAGCTAGTATTCACCTAGTTGTGTTTGCGGGGGTTGAGCTTTGCTCTTTCGGCCCGCCTCTCAACTGTCAATCAACTGTTTACTAACTACTTTTTTTCTCCACACCACACACACACACTAGTGCGCCCGCTCAGGCGAGCACGTGGCTCACCACCGCAGTTCTTGACTGATGTGCATGGTGATCAGATGTCACCTCTAGCCTTGCTTTCCTGTTTGGTTTTTGCCCTGTGTGAGTGTGCCAGCTGTGGGTGGTGGTGTGGTGGGCAGGTATTTTATGTATGCAGAGTTGCTTAAGCCTAGGGCCAGCTTCCCTAGGCGTCCTCTAAGTACTACCCTTGCATTTTAGGGTTCTCTTCCCTGGGGTGTTTGGGACTCACTCACGTAGAGGTCTCCGTTGCTTGGCGTTGCCTTCGCCCTTGGGGTCAGTTGAGGGTCTTGGGTTTGTTGTCGTGCTCTAAGTAGGGAGTGATTTGTTGCTGAGCAGGGCACACTGTGGCCTACTCAGCCTGCACACACGCGGCGGCGACGATTCTCTCTGGCTGCCACTTTTGTTTGTTGAATTTCGGTTTTTTTTTTTTCCTTGAATTTTTAGCTTTTCTTCTGATAGAGGGCTGCCTAGCTTCCCATTAGGTCTGCCTAGGTTGTGTTTGGTAGTCCTCCTCTGGTTCCTTCGAGGCTCCATGACTGCTACTGGTGGTCAGTTTGCCTGGTATTAGACAGGGTTCAACCAGTTTGCTAGCCCAGTGCCTGGCTTCCCCATTGGGATTCCTTCCCCTGCGGGCCCTAGAAATCCCCTTAGAGCTTGGGATGACTATGATTGTGTCTTCTGAGTCCTCTCTCACCTTGTGTGAGGTCAAAAGCTGTTCATTGCCCCTGTGATGATCATCTGTACTGCCTCCGTCATGCTGCCTATTAGGTCAGTGACACCTATGACCCAGAATCCTGCAGGATTTGTTCTCCGCTTGTGCTCCAGTTTACCCATTCTTTGTCTGAAGATCTTAGGGGTCAAGCAGCGGCTGTGTTGCATGCTAGGTTTTCTTTGTTTCAATAAGCCAGGTTGGTTGCCCATTTGGAAGCCCTGGAGCTGTCCCACTTGGGTTTTAGGGACCAGGATTTGGGGGCATTAGTTGCCTAACCTTGTTTCAGTCCATGCTCCCTTTTCCTTCCCAGGTGGGCGTGGTTTGCCCAGCTCCTACCCCTCTGTTTTTGACTTCCAGATGTCTCAGGTTTTCGGAGTTGGGACAGGGTTTAGCCCGAGATGAGGCTCGGGTGGCTCCGGGGACTGCCCCTTCCGATATGGTGTGGAGGTAGTTGAGCCTGATTTTCCTGCTGAAGCTTTTGGGTCAACCCAGCAGGCTCCCTTCTTTGAAGCTTTTTTCCTGGACTCTGCTTATACCTCAGGGATGGTGAGCGTGGACGAGGTCTCTGCCCCAGGACCCTCTGTTAGGGGTTCCTGGGGATTAGGGAAAGTCCGCTTTGAGCTTTTTGGCTCCTTTTAATCCGCTTGGGCTCTTGTACCTTCTGGGCAGGGGTTAAAGCTGTAGGGGCGGGGGTTTCATATCCCCCTTCCTTGTATGAATTTGAGTTGGGTGTGGCTCCCCCCTCGGGTTCGTTTCCGGGCACCTTTGGGTTCCTCGAATTAGTCCTTACAGAGGTTTTCTTCCTCTCGAATTTCCCCTGTGGCGGTTCGGGAGGCATTTAGTGCTAACCTCCTGCGAGAACCAGGTTATGCCTCTATAATGGATCCGACATCTTTCAAATTAGGTTCCTCTTTCCCGTACTGAATGTGTTATGAGGTTCCGGAGTCTTCCTGGCTGGCAGACTGTCCTTTCTTTTCGCTTGGAGCTTGGTGCGGGTTTGTTGTACCTGCATGCTTGAATGGTGGGAGGTAACTTCGGTGTTGCAGGTATTCTTGGGGAGCTCATTGGAGTTCCTCAATGAGTGCCTCTTCACTCCTGTGCTTTCTTGTGATGAGTGTCTGGTGCAATTACATGCTCAGGTTCACACTCTTTCTGCTGCTTTGGCTGTGGATGACCATCGAGTTCGTGATCATTTGGCCTCGGTCTTGAGCTTCTTCGGTCTTCTGGAGCTGTCCTTAAACTGGCTTTCGGAGGATATGGGGGTGTTGAATGAGGGGTCTTCGGTTAGTGTTGTGGTTTCAGCTGCCAAAGCGACAGCTACCCTGCTGAAACTGTTTGTGCCGATCCTCCAGGAGGTGGTATCTATGTTTTTACTGTTTGCAACGTTTCTGAAGAAAGCGGTGTCTTTGTTCTTTGCTTCTCGCCTCGTGTGCTAACAGGCGGTGCTTGTCCACTCTTTGGAATCTACTTGGGGCCCTGACTCTTAGATTTTTGTCCCCTTTTCTGTGGAGAGCCCCTTTGGCTCCCCAGAGCTATACCAGGCTGATGTGCATATATTAGACCATGGCAACAGTCAGTCGATTGAGTTCAAGAAGAGGCACAAGGAGCAATGGCCTAAAAACACTCTGTGTAATTGGAAGCAGTCTTTATTTGCCATTTGCCACATCAGGCACCAAGAAAGGTAGGAATTTCAAAACAAACTACTGCTGGTCAAAAATTGGAAACCAACCAAAAGCCAAACTAGCAAGCAGAATTTCCCAATTAAAAACAAGGAAACAAGCATGACATCATCACAACTGCCACGCATCCGTCAGCACAACCCTCCCTCCCCGGGAGGGGGACGGGGAAGTCCTAGACCTCTACACCGGCTACTCTCCTCGGTTCAGAAGGCTGTCGTGTCAGTGGAGGTCGATCGAATCTGGCTCCATCCTTTGAGCAGTGCTGCATAGTGGTGGTGTTGTTCAGTCTTGGTGGTGTGCGAGCCAGGAGTAACACTATAGAGTACTGGGGCTGCATGCACCTAGGGCCACCTTCCCTAGGTGGCCCACAATGCTGCTATTATCAGAATCCTGGTCACTAAATTCTGTAAATGAATAATTTTCCACAAGTTTATTTTGTAAAGGAACATGAGAAGTCATTTGATGATTCTTAGATGGATGAAACAGTGGCAGTGTGCTGTGGTTAGCGCTGTAAACATCTTGAACAGCATTGTGTTCACTGATATCTGAACATTGTAAAGTCTTTATCACAGTCAGGCTCTTCTGTAATACTATCATGGCTAAATTATACCAGTTACATATATATTTTGACATTTTTAGGTGATGCTGTGATCACAAGCTGAACAGCAGTGCTGTTAGCTCATGCTGCGTACACCAACCTTGTTTGCTCACTCAGTACTGAGGTCCTCACACCCGGGAAAGTTGCCCACGATTTTTTTTTAAATGCTGTCTGTTTACAAGAGCCCTGAGGAAGCCGATGTGAACTCCATGTAGCCGTGGGACTTTTAAATCTTACATGGTACTCCCAACCATACATAGCTGTGGTGTGCCGTCCTGCAATAGTTACTCACCCCAGCTATAGATGTATTGTGCGGTTTAAGGATTAAGATAGAAATAAAATAATGAAAATAAAAGAAAGAATAGTGACCTAGACCTGTTTTCTGTTGTTGTTAACTGGCAAACAACTTTTCCCAAACTGATCCACCAGATGACAGCTCAGGTTACCCAGGGTCCTAGCATGGAACCCTTCTTGCTCATAATCCTTGTACCATCCTAACCTCTGCCAGGTTCAGTCTTTCTGCTGTTCCCCGGTAAGTGGTGATGGTTTGTCTTGGGACATACATCCTCTCAAAATCATTTTTAATTTTGTTCTCATATGAATGGTTTGTTTTGTCATCTTTGACTTTCTGATAAATTCATTTTAGTTGTGGATCACATGTTCTATGTCCAAAGAGCTTGGAAAAGGCAGGGGAAGGAAGAAGGCTGAGGAGTTGAAATTCTTGAAGATGATTTGGATGGGGAACGAGGAGACTTGAAAGTTTGGTGGTCTGTACACCATGGGTTGGCATAATGTATTGATCTTGAAGTGGAACTTCTTGTTGATAATGTAGAATTTTTATTCTGCAGCAGGAGGCTTGTGGGGTAGCGATTGGCTGTCATGCTGGTTTAGGTGAGGTGCTATGTCTGGCTTGGGGGATGCATCTTCCCGTTGGAGGTGTTACTTGTCTTGTTATTCTAGCGTATTTTGTGGTGTTAGTTTTGATCTTGGTCTTATGCTGCTGTTCAGAACTTTCTGCATAGCCTGCAGTGCCTCTTCATTTCTTCTGGTTTCAGGAGTATGGCATTGTTGTTTGAGTAAATCTTGTAGTATTTAGGGTCAATCAGATGTGGGTAGAGCCAGGTGGAGTCCAGGCAGTTGTGGATAATTGAAACATCTAAGGCCCAAGTACACGGTTCCCCCGTTGACTTTATGTTCATTGGCCATGTCGTTGTAGAAGTGCGTGTTGGTTGTCCTGGTTCCAGCACTTGTGTCTTCATTCCTGTGAGTGAGAAGTATGTACAGTATAAGTGTGTCCATCAGCTCATAGTTCTTGGGTCGAAGTGTATGGTGTGTTTGTTTGGGTTGGTTACTCTGTGGAAACGTGGATCTGGGTTGGTTTCCTGGGTTAACCGCAATCCTTGCGGGATTGCAAGGATTGGGCCGCACACTTGGAGTGGAAGCGGGAGCAACATCTAATGTGTGTTGAGTAGAGGTGGGATCTGGTGAGATGGCTAGAGTAGGGCTCGTTGGTAACGTTTGCCATGTTGCTGGGACGGCTGAAGTTGATGTCCCCTGGGTGAGGCACTGTGGGGTGGTTATTGCTGAGGCAGAGACTGGTTGAGCTGCTTGTACTGGTGTAGGGTCAGCTGCTGTTGAAGCTGTTGCTGTTGAGAGCAGGTTGCTTAGCATTGCAAGGATCTGTGGATCCTGGAGTAGGTCTGCTGGGACAGACATCTTGGGTAACCTGTTTGCAGAAAGCAGTCTATTGAGTATGAACATGTATTTGGTGATGTTGGTACCTGCCAATTTCTCAGCGAGTTTAATCAATATTGGGACCACTGTGGTGGTGGCCGAGGTTGTTGATTGGTTGGGCAATGAGCTGGTGGGTGGAGCCATAGTTACCTGTGTGCTAAGCCCCCAGTAGGCAGTGGGGGGGGGGAGGGGCTGGGCTGGTGTGGACATCATTGTAGCAGAGGGAACTGGTAGCATTGGGAAAGCTGTAGTCTGCATGTTGAAGCTCGCTGGCTGATTGGTGGTTGGCTTGTTGGTTATCAACTTCTATATTTCCTCAAGTCTGATTGGGCAGTCTGGGGAAACAGTGATGTGGGGTACTCCACAGTTGTTGCACAGTTGGCTGGTCAACTAACAATCCTTGTAATTGTGTTCTTATCTGCAGATGCTGCAATTCTCTTTGGTCAAGTCACAATTCCAGGTGTAGTGATTGTATTTGAAGCACTTAAAACTCTGGCATAGCTGGAGGTAATGTTTCCTCTTGATGGTGTCTGGGGTGGTGATTAATATGTCAAAGCATATGAAGCTGCTTTTCACAGCTTGGGCCGTTGCAGCAGTGGTAGAGAATATTACTTTAGGGTTGGGTGTAGGTTTTCATTGTTCTTGATGATCTTCACTTTAACCACTGTCATGGCCAGGTTCCTGTAGTTGATGTTTTTTTCAGAATGTCGGTTAGTTCCTGGGTAGAGATGAAGAGGCTAGTATGTCTGATGAAAATGGTTCTATCCACCAGGTAGTGTCGAGAAGGGATGAGGATAAGGTCTGCAGCTTGCAGGGCATCATGGTGTTCAGGATCAAATAGTTGTTCCAAAGCATCCTCACTTGAATAGAAGAGTTTGATACCAATGCCATCGGCACAGATGTCAATACAGCTGCGTTGGTCATATCGACGATCTTTTCCAGTATTTGGGCATTCTAACCACGGAACCAAACCTTAATCCGATAAATCATGATAGTGTGAGTACACAAGTATCATGGGAACGTGTAGAGAACAAGGTAAACTCAGCTGCTACCCCCTCAACTGGATGCAGTAGCGATGGAAGAGTCCTCTGATTGATGATTCCTCAATTCCTTGTGTTGTGGGTCAATCTTTGATATCCACATGCATCCTTTCACCTCTTTTAGGGATTTATGTTTTTCACCTTTGTTTTGTGTAGACCGAGAGTCTCAAGATCTTGACATTTGGGGGCAGCACTGTGGTAAGAGTGCCATAAACTCTGGGGAACTACTGAGACACCAAACACAGAAAGTGACATTTCATTACACTCAATGCAAATTATTTTTTACTTTTAATAGTATTTTCAAGGCATCATGCGTGTGTACATATTGTGAAAAACTGGTTAAAAATAAATAAAAATGTAATGTTTTAAAGTTTAGAACCCAGAATGAAGCATGTACCAGATAGTCCAAATGATTTTTTAGGCCACACTGAACAGTATTGTAATTTTAATTTTGAAAGAAACTCATGTTATTTAGTGCACATTATACCACAGAAAAAGAAACAAACAAATGTTTGTTTTATCTGGTGTGTATACACACCAGATAAGAGAGATAAGTGAAAAGATAGTGAGTTAATCATATGATTCATGGGTAATGTCATGGAGTTAGGTATTGCTTACAAATGAGGACAGTAATTATACCACCTATCCAAATCATATTTGATTTAGATGTGGTGATTCAGATTATAGAGACTTTAATGATGAAGTTGTATACATAATGAGTACAGTAAAAAATAAATTATCAAATTACAAATAGCATACAAATAGCAATAAATATATTTAAAATTGTATAAATTTAATAGAGTATATCACCAACAATATCTGTTATTGTTGGTTATACTAACTTGGCAATAGTTTAAAATAGAAACTAGAATGTTTAAAATGAATCATCGTGTTGATCCTTTTTGGATCATGATTAGTTATTTATTGTGGCTGCAGAGGACCTAAGTGGTGAGAATGCAGTGTCTGCTAGCAGGAAATTGGATGACCTAATTCACTTGGCTGAGTTATGTGTCGACCTCCTGCAGCAGAATGAGGAACACCATGCCGAGGTAAGCTATATAAATTTCATTACGTTCCTATATTCATTAATTACTATAAATATTTCTTCTCTGTGAGTCTTGATATGTTTTAAACATCTGTATGCTCATTTTATAAATGGAAGAATACTGCAGTATATATTTAAGTGGTGCATTTTTTATACAACCATTATGAGATGTAAGAGTCAAGTGTTTTTAACACTTTGACTCTTGACAATTTAATTTACATAATGCTAATAGCTGAGCACTATTATTACACTGATGGATCTCTTAACTGTTCTCCTGAGTAAATACAAAATATGGTAGGGAATAATGTTAATACAATATTGGATAGGCCACATGATTTCACTCACTCAGAATGAATAATTAACATATATATATATATATATATATATATATAT